AACACGTAGGTTGCTGGGCTAGAGGGGTTTAACACGTAGGTTGCTGGGCTAGAGGGGTTGTTCAACCCACTGTCTCTAACCTTTGTATTTAATAATGTTTAATCCTTTTGAAAACAACTATAACCAGAATATTAAAAAAAAAATTGGTAAACACATAGAATTTAATTATTTTTTTTCAAGAGCCTACATAATGGTCAGTTTAAACGAGGATTTATAATGACTTTGTGCTTCTATAGGCAGTTTACTCTGAAAAAAATGCATTTCTTCCTATATTCTTTTTTTTTTTTTGCTATTTGAATTAGTTTATTGTCAGTTTAAGTCACAAAACGTGAGTCACTTTGCACTAAACAAATTTAACTAATAAACTTTTTTCTTAATTTACTAACATTTGTTTTGAGATTTTGACAACATAAATTATATTTAAAAAATTTGTTTATTTTTTTTCAGAAAAACTAATGATGATTGTGATCTAATTTTCAGAGGCGTTCATAGTCATGGCGTCCAAGAAATACTTTTAAAGAATTTATGTCTTATTTATCCTATGCAGTAATGTACTACAAAATATTGTTATACATACAAATTTTATATATACATGTTTTTTATTATTTTTCATAATTACACTGGCCGATTCCCACCAAGGCAGGGTGGCCCGAAAAAGAAAAACTTTCACCATCATTCACTCCATCACTGTCTTGCCAGAAGGGTGCTTTACACTACAGTTTTTAAACTGCAACATTAACACCCCTCCTTCAGAGTGCAGGCACTGTACTTCCCATCTCCAGGACTCAAGTCCGGCCCGCCGGTTTTCCTGAACCCCTTCATAAATGTTACTTTGCTCACACTCCAACAGCACGTCAAGTATTAAAAACCATTTGTCTCCATTCACTCCTATCAAACACGCTCACGTATGCCTGCTGGAAGTCCAAGCCCCTCGCACACAAAACCTCCTTTACCCCTCCCTCCAACCTTTCCTAGGCCGACCCCTACCCCGCCTTTTCCCTTTCCCCTACAGACTGATACACTCTTTAATCACTCTGTTTCGCTCCATTCTCTCTACATGTCCGAACCACCTCAAAAACCCTTCCTCAGCCCTCTGGACAACAGTTTTGGTAATCCCGCACCTCCTCTAACTTCCAAACTACGAATTCTCTGCATTATATTTCACACACACATTGCCCTCAGACATGACATCTCCACTGCCTCCAGCCTTTCTCCTCGCTGCAAAAATTCATCACCCATGCTTCAAAACCCATATAAGAGCGTTGGTAAAACTATACTCTCATACATTCCCTCTTTGCCTCCAAGGACAAAGTTTTTTGTCCTCCACAGACTCGAAAATGCACCACTCACCCTTTTCCCCTCATTTAATTCTATGATTCACCCTCATCTTTCATAGACCCATCCGCTGACACGTCCACTCCCAAATATCTGAATACATTCACCTCCTCCATACTCTCTCCCTCCAATCTGATATCCAATCTTTCATCACCTAATCTTTTTATCCTCATAACCTTACTCTTTCCTGTATTTACTTTTAATTTTCTTCTTTGCACACCCTACCAAATTCATCCACCAATCTCTGCAACTTCTCTTCAGAATCCCCAAGAGCCAGTGTCACAGCAAAGAGCAACTGTGACAACTCCCACTTTGTGTGATTCTTTATCTTTTAAACTCCCAAAGCCCTTGCCAGACCCTCGCATTTACTTCTCTTACAACCCCATCTATAAATATATTAAACAACCACGGTGACATCACACACCTTGTCTAAGGCCTACTTTTACTGGGAAATAATTTCCCTCTTTCCTACATACTCTAACTTGAGCCTCACTATCCTCGTAAAAACTCTTCACTGCTTTTCAGTAACCTAAATTCCTACACCATACACCTTCAACATCTGCCACATTGCCCCCTATCCACCCGTCATACGCCTTTTCCAAATCCATAAATGCCACAAAGACCTCTTTAGCCTTATCTAAATACTGTTCACTTATATGTTTAAATGTAAACACCCGGTCCACACACCCCCTACCTTTCCTAAGCCTCCCTTTTTTCATCTGCTATCCTATTCTCCGTCTTACTCTTAATTCTTTCAATAATAACTCTAACCCCTACACTTTACAAGGTAAGACTTATCCCCCCATAATTTTTGCACTCTCTTTTGTCCCCTTTGCCTTTATACAAAAGGAACTATGCATGCATATATATATAATAAAATATATATATATATATATATATTAATATATATATATAAAATATATATATATTTTTATATATATATATATATATATGATAAATATATATAAATATATTATATATTATATATAGGCAAAACAACCACTCTTAAAGAATAGAGAAATTCCAAGCGCTTTCGTGACGAAAAGCGCTGAATTTCTCTATTCTTTAGAGTGGTTGTTTGCATATTCTGAAATCACCCGTTTACTGGATCCCTTTTTGCCTATGTAATATATATATATAATATATATATATATATATAAATATTATTATATATATATATTTATATAATTTATATATTTTTAATATATATTTATATTATAATATATATATATTATAATTATATAAAATAATATATATTTATATATACTTCATGCAAAGACAAGCCAAAGGGAAGGTGGAAATCTTTAGCTCAAGTACTTTCATACTTCTCAGTGCGTCATCAGGAACTATGCAATGTTGCAAGGCAGCAAATGAGGGTTTGAGGGGAAGTTTTTTTCTCATAGTATCGCAGCGCGGGTTAACACCAGCCACAGTCTCTGAATGTGGGGCAGTTGTCTGTGTGCCAACCCTACGACCCTTTCCGTCCCCCCTCCCTCCCCCCACATGGGGCAGTAGACGGCCTCAGTAGTCAAGGAATAGGAAATTAGAATATACAATAGCCAGCCTCAAGCTTCTTCTAGTCGCCTAGAACAGATCATGTGACATAAGAAAATACGTTTCACAGTGGATAATGTACATATGGATTCCTGTTATTCTGTGTAACCCCTAATTGATAAAAGAAAATAAATGAATGTACTCTTTTGTTCGTATATATTATTATGAGAGCCTTGCGCATCTGTAATCCGCAGTATTTAGAGGAAAAAATTAGCAAGATATTCAACATAGCCACAAAACTGAGATACCCTAGGGATTTTGACGAGAAGACACTAATGTCAGGAAGGAAGACTTTCTACAGGACTGAACCAAAGGAAGTGATTGCCAGGAAAAATGCACTTGTTTTACCATATAATGAGAACGTGGTTTGCCTATACGAGATATTAAAAAAGATTCATATAAACCTCGCTTTCAAAAACACTGGGACAGTGAAACAGAAGTTGATGGAATTACAAAGTGCCATGCACCCAGTGTCCCCTCTCATATATTGGTCAAACAGGTAAACCTCTGGAAACCAGAATAACCCAACATAAATACTTAATCAGGACAGGGCAAGAGTCGAACGCTATCTTCAACCACGTCAGTTCCTGCAATCACTCACCGGAGTGGGCTGATACTCAGATTATTGTACCCAAACAGTTCAGTCATAGAAAGAAACCTAATTAATCTTCTCTCTTGAAACACGACAGGGACACCATATACAACTCAAATTATGGGTTATACAAGCTCAATAGCTATTTAGTAGAGTCTGTTGTACACAATCTTAAATAACAATGCAACACAAAATCACAGGATTGAGGGTGAAGCCAGGTGGCTTCATCATGGATTGGTGGCGCTCGACCAGCGTCTACACACCAAACTCATGTTACATATGTCAGGAATGGTGGCATACAATATAACATGTTTAACTGTTACTGTACCATAAGTGGACAGGTACACAAGATTAGGTGGTAGCATAGATAGTGGAATTAAAGGAAATCCAAAGGGAAAATTTGGATCATAGACATATTATTGGAAAGGCATAAATATACCCAAATAAGGCATATTAATCTATACTGAGAAGATCGGTAGATACTATTTTAGGAATATATGAAGAGATACTTCTGAGTACCCAATGGAACATTCTAAAACCCCTATTATACACAACTTTAAATGCTACACACACTCGCAGGATTGCTCTTTATGCCAGATGGTTTCATGATGGATTGGTTATGCTTGACCAGTGTCTACGCAACATACTCATGCTAAGACTGTCGTGAATGTGGGCATATAATATAACTCGTTTAGCTGTTACTGTACCATAGATGGACAGGTACACAAATTTAAATGATAACATAGATAGTGGGGTTAAATGATATCCGAAAAGAAATCTGGATCATAGAAATATTATCAGAAAGGCATAGAGATACCCCAGTAAAGCATATTAATCGATACTGAGAAAACTGGCAGACAATATTTAGGAATACATATAGAAGCGATGCTCCCGAGTACCCCTGTGAACATTTTAGAACCCCAGACCACGGCATTTAAACGAACAAAAGAGTATATTCATTTCTTTTCTTTTATCAGTTAGGGGTTACACAGAATAATAGGAATCCATATGTGTATTATCCACTGTGAAAAGTATTTTCTTAAGTCACATAACTTGTTCTAGGCGACTAGAAGAAGCTTGGGGCTGGCTATTGTATCTTCTGATTTCCTATTCCTTGACTGCTGAAAACCCGAAGGCTGTCTACTTCATGTGGGGGGGGGGAAGGACGGGGAGGGTCGTAAGGTCGGCACACAGACCGCTGCCTCACATTCAGAGAGACTGCGGCTGGTGTCAACCTACGCTGCTCTACTCTGAGAAAAACTTCCCCTCAGTCCTTCAGCTGCTGCCTTGCAACATTGCATAGCTCCTGATGACACACTGAGAAGTGTGAAAGTGCCTAAGCTAAAGATTTCCATCCCCCGTAACTTGTCTTGCATTGTTAAAATCTCCTGTCTGCGATTGTTTGCATATAATGTATATATATAATATATATAAATATATATATATATATATATTTTATATATAATATATTATATATATATATATATATAATAAATATAAAATTCTTACCCGGCTTTGAGTATCAAAGGAGATGTAATTGGCAGTCACCATATGGCACAAGTGCCAACCATCTTATCACTTTGCGTGGGCCCAGCATACAGCTGAGATGTGGAGCAGCGGAGGCGGACACGATGGCACTGTGGGAGTGCCAGATATCAATGACAGGTGAAAGGGAAGGGCCTCCTCCGCGAAGTTCTGCTCCTTCAACTTTAGGAAGGGAAGCCAATTCATTGAGCGCGAGGCAGAGGACGAATGGGTTGATTGATTCCGATGACAAATAGATTAGGTGAAGTATTGTGATCTAGCTGGAGATCGCCTGGCTTTCTCTTTTATATACATGTTTCATATAGGTTTTTGTGCTTTTTCTAAAAGTTCACTGGGACTTCACTCAGGTTTCTTCCTTGAAAAACAAGATGCAACGTCTAGCAAGATGCGAACACATGCACTCTGTCGCACCATGGAGTCAACGTTGTTTGGGGACCCGTATCATCTACAGACGAAATTACAGCAAAGCCATCGACCCCCATCAGCCAGGGAACTAGGGAGAACCTGGGTATCTTCCTATCCTGGCGTTTCTGATAAGGTTAGGGAGAGACTCTAGGAATCTTGCTATCCTGGCTAAGCTTGGGGAGCAAGAGAGGGAAGTCTATGAGTCTTCCTGCCCTGGCTGTTCCTCGCTCAGTTGATCGAGTGGAGGCTGCTGTGAGAGGAGGGTCGGGGAGTTGAAGAGTGTGTACAGAACAAGGATAGTTAGGCCGGCCAGTAGCAGCGCCAGCAGCACCAGCAGGCGATTAGTGAAGCCTTGGAACTCTTCCTCCTGTTCAGCAGCTCTCTGGACCACTGATGCTCGTGACTCCTGTAAACAAGAAACAACATCGTGGGTTCATAAACAATATCGTAGATTCTGAGCGATGTTTGTGTTTATTCAGATTGTTGTGTGTATACCTTACTGAGTTGTGTGTGTTTGTAATTCTACATTTGAGTTTGATGGTAGTGAGCTTCAACTGTGTGTATCAGTGTAAGCCAAACAAGTGAAAACATTAACAAATTATATTACAGTACTATAAATAGTGAAGACGGTACACCAGGAGTATAGCTCTTTTCTTACTGCAAATTGATATAACACTCACATACATGCTCTACAAAAGTTATAAGACATTACTGTCTTGTAACTTTGTTACAAGACAGTAATGTCGTGTTACAAGACCATTTAATCAATTAAATGATAAGTTGTATTTAAAATTAAATAAGAGTGAAAAGTAACTCTGGTAAACCAGCAGACACTTAGCAACTGAACGGGTTATCAATGGATAACGACGCATGTCAGAAGACACTTGTCATATTTCTTGATGAACAAAAACAATAACACCTTAAGATAACCACATGTCATCAGTGCATTTTTAACAACTGCAAGTCACTAGTATCTTTATATGGGGAGTCATAGGACGGGAAATGGACACAGAATCGACAAAACGATTCTTTCAGCTCTGTGAGGGCGGGGATATAGCCGGGTTGGCCCCACTCCGTGACTGACCTAGCTGCCTCCAGAGGGCTATAGCACCAGCAACAGCCAGAGCATGTCATTATCTGGTTAAGACCAGTGTCAGAGCAACGGTCCTGACGAATATTATAACAACACAGTCTCTAAGACATCAACACCTTTAGAAAATCACAGTTCATCAGCACTTTCAGTTATTTACAAATCAGTACTTTAAAATGTTCATAAATTATCAGTACCTACCTGTTCTTTACTTATGGCTAGTTTAAAGTGTTCCTCTACCTCTGCAGCCCAGCCTGATCCCAGGCTTCCCTGCTGACTACCTGCTCAACCAGGCTTTGTGTTTATGTCAGCGGCTCACAGGCCTACATAACCATCACAATCAGACTGATCTACACTTACAGGAGAATGCTGTCCACATTTTTGATAACTTTTATCTTTATTCAGACAGTATTTCTGATATCAGCTTGTAGTATGCTGATAAGTCTTAGGTGAAGGATGTTCGTACAGTGTTTTCCAAGTCTACCTCTCATTCCCCCTACTCTTCATTTACAGTATTCCACACTTTCTCCCACATCTTTCAAACCTAAGTTGTTATAGCAGTGTGCCGGGGGTCAACGCCCCCGCGGCGTTGACTTGTAAGGAGTAGTGAGCAAAGAATACTATTCAAGTAATAAGAACCCAAGAGATTTGAAATGTACCATCACTGTCACTACTTCTCTTGTTTTGAAAGTTTCTTGTAATCTACGCTGTCATTCTCCTGAACTTTGCTGCATTTATCTTATTGTGTTTCTTCAATAACAGATTTTCTGATATACCTATTCCTAGGTCTTTTAAATGTCCTATGATATGGTCTGATTTCTGTATATTGTCTTCTCTTTGACTTAAAGGAAAACAAAACGATTGCAGAGTATATGTAGATTACAGTGACAGAGTCTAGAAAGTTTATTCAGGTATAGATACACATACATACAGTTACATAAATTATCATACATAGCAGCACATGTGTAGATTACCTAGGATAACTCAAACAATCAGACACAGTGACTTATTTCCATTGGGGTTCAAACTTCGAATGAATTACTGAAACAAGTTGCTGTGTGTATCTAAGATCTGGAGCTGAACATCAACACCGCAACCACAAATAGGTGAGTACAACATTTCTTCCCTCAAAACATACACAGGGGAACCAGCAGTGGTACTAGGGTCGAGCTCCTCTTTAAGGAGTGACGGTATCAGTCAAGCCCGATCTTCCTCCTCTCCACCTTTCCCATCCCCATCTCTATCGAAACCCCCTTTCAGCCCCCCCCCTATCACCTCTTTTATACCCCCCAGCCTCTCCCTTCCCGTCACCTTCCCTGCCTTTCCCACGGAGCCAAGCAAAGTTTGCCATCCGTAGGTGAACGACAAATAAAATATATAGCAGCAGAGAGAGGGGAAATAGAAGGTAAAATATTGAGTAGGATAGATGGAAGAGTGATGGAGGCAGTGGAAAGGGAACTAAGAGGATTATATATATAATATATATATATATATATATATATATATATATATATATATATATATTATATATATATAATATATATATATATATTATATTAAGTCGTGCCGAATATGTAAAACTGGTCAATTAGCAAGAACTCATTTAAAATTAAGTCCTTTCTGAAATTTTCTCTTATACGTTTAAAGATATATTTTTTCATTAATGTTAATGTAAAAAAAATTTAATTTTGCACCAAAAGAATCTTAGAAACTTACCTAACCTTATTATAACAAGAACAATTTATTTTAGCCTAACCCAACTAAATATATTTTAGATTTGTTTACAGTAATTAATACTAAACAAACACAGTGAAATATATTTTTTTCGTTAGGTTCAGAATGATTTTGGCGAAATTATTGCATACACAAATTTTCACTTGTCCTATATGGCAAGATGAGCGTTGCTATTTAAGCCAAGATCGCAAGTTCTGCCTATTCGGCACGATATAATATATATATATAATATATATATATATATATATATATATATAATATATATATATATATATATATATATATATATATATATATATATATATATATATATAATATATATATATATATATAATATATAAAATCACATCTAGAAGTTTAAATAATAGAAGTCCTCAGGTTGTTCTTCAACTATATATATCCTTGGTTAGGCCTCATTTAGATTATGCTGCACAGTTTTGGTCACCGTATTACAGAATGGATAAAAATGCTCTGGAAAACGTACAGTGGACAGTTCTGATATGTTGTAGATATTTTGGGCAACTTGGCAATTCAAAAAGACGATGAATTTGTGGTAACTGGTGTTGCTGCAAGGAAAGTTAAAATTTGGAAAATAAAGGCCTCATTAAGCTGCCTTATATACAGTCGGAATTACTACCAGTAAATTACAACTATTTTATTATATTGCACAAATTTGAACAAGGTTAGGTTGGTATTGCAATAAAATTAAAGACTGTCAAATAAAAAAATGCCTAACATTTATTAAAATAATTTTTTTAGGGGACAAGGATGAAATTTTCACGTGGACACTATTTAATAATGTTACTAAAATTAGCAGTTAAACGTTAGTTCTTCTTTAACAGCAAAAACTTGCGTCAACACAGAGCCCAGATGATTTATCAGCCGCCTGCGCTGACCTCACTATAAATGAGGTGTTTAACTTTTTATAAACAGGCTTTATATACAGGATTGTTTTCTTTTAATATATTTTATCTTACTAGAGTGGCCTGTGAGGTTTAGGACTCGCCTGTCATGGGTTCGAGTCTCAGCCGTTCCGTGAGCTGTTTCCAATCTTGTTATGACGATTTCGTGAGTTGTAATTTATGATTTTTTTTCGTTCATGCTTTACATCTGTCAGGATGTTAATACATCTGTCAGGATGTTAATACATGATGAAATTAAGACACATGTGCAACATCTGGGTATCTTTATTGTAGACGTTTCGCCATCCAGTGGCTTTATCAATACAAATTCCAGGACATAACTTGAAGACAGTAGAACTATGTACAGAAGATGAGGTAATCAGTCCCTCAACCTAGGAGTAGGTGCGAAGAGCACCGACTCCAAGGTCGGTGCTCTTCGCACCTACTCCAAGTACTAAATACAAGTACTAAAGTCAATCACCACACACACACATAAAGCAAACATTGCACCCTCACTGCCTGGTGACCTACCCTGCGTATTATGGGTATGTTGTGGTCCTCACCAGGCTGGTGGCCGCCCCTGCAGGATGGCTGGTCACACGGGGACGGGTTCTTGAGCTGCTCCAGGAGCTGTGCCCAGCGGTCGGGCTTCTTGGGCGGCTGTGCCCTGGCAGCTGCTGCCTTCACCGCAGCCTCCCGCCACGCCAAGCCTCGCCGACGCACCAGTCGCATCCTCCCACACCCCTGCGGGAATAACACGAGATACGTATAGGAATGCGAGGGTCTTGGCAAGAGGCGTGGAGTTAAAAGATAAAGAATCACACATAAAGTGGAAGTTGTCACAGTTGCTCTTTGCTGATGACACTGTGCTCTTGGGAGATTCTGAAGAGAAGTTGCAGAGATTGGTTGATGAATTTGGTAGGGTGTGCAAAAGAAGAAAATTAAAAGTGAATACAGGAAAGAGTAAGGTGATGAGGATAACAAAAAGATTAGGTGATGAAAGATTGGATATTAGATTGGAGGGAGAGAGTATGGAGGAGGTGAATGTATTCAGATATTTGGGAGTGGACGTGTCAGCGGATGGGTCTATGAAAGATGAGGTGAATCATAGAACTGATGAGGGGAAAGGGTGAGTGGTGCACTTAGGGGTCTGTGGAGACAAAGAACTTTGTCCTTGGAGGCAAAGAGGGGAAAGTATGAGAGTATAGTTTTACCAACGCTCTTATATGGGTGTGAAGCATGGGTGATGAATGTTGCAGCGAGGAGAAGGCTGGAGGCAGTGGAGATGTCATGTGTGAGGGCAATGTGTGGTGTGAATATAATGCAGAGAATTCGTAGTTTGGAAGTTAGTAGGAGGTGCGGGATTACCAAAACTGTTGTCCAGAGGGCTGAGGAAGGGTTGTTGAAGTGGTTCGGACATGTAGAGAGATGGAGCGAAACAGAGTGACTTCAAGAGTGTATCAGTCTGTAGTGGAAGGAAGGCGGGGGTAGGGGTCGGCCTAGGAAAGGTTGGAGGGAGGGGGTAAAGGAGGTTTTGTGTGCGAGGGGCTTGGACTTCTAGCAGGCATGCGTGAGCGTGTTTGATAGGAGTGAATGGAGACAAATGGTTTTTAATACTTGACGTGCTGTTGGAGTGTGAGCAAAGTAACATTTATGAAGGGGTTCAGGGAAACCGGCAGGCCGAACTTGAGTCCTGGAGATGGGAAGTACAGTGCCTGCACTCTGAAGGAGGGGTGTTAATGTTGCAGTTTAAAAACTGTAGTGTAAAGCACTCTTATGGCAAGACAGTGATGGAGTGAATGATGGTGAAAGTTTTTCTTTTTCGGGCCACCCTGCCTTGGTGGGAATCGGCCAGTGTGATGATAAAAAAAAAAAACGTATAGGAATAGCCTACCTCCTCTTGCTTAAGTAAGGGATGCCGTCCCCATCTGTGTGTTCCCAGAGAAACTGATGTTATTCGACACTATTATCATATGGTCTTCCTTTTGTTCCTGAGTTAAGGTCACCCCACAACAGTGTTGTCCAAAAATAAAGTATCTGGCTGAGAAAGAAAATCAAATAACGTATCGGAAATATAAATAAAAATGAAGCTTATTTTCCTGTCTTATAAATATATTCTTAAACAATTAAATTTCTCCCACCCTCGCCGGAGTTACAATTAATTCAGGAGATACGATAGTTTTAACACAGTGTGACAATCCCCTTCTATCTTGCCCTGTTAATAAAATCCTCTACAAGCATGTAGCCTAGGCATGCTGCCATCTCTCTTATTTCCTGCTCTACTATAGTATATCCATATTTTCTTTATGCTTAAAATAATATACAGTTTTAAATTTTTTCAAGCCGTTTACATTCCAGGACATTATTCGTTCACTATTGTATCCAATATGCTTGTTAACGCTTTTTTCCTATGCTTCTTTCCATGCCAGTTCCTTTAAGCGAGAAAGATATGTTAGTGGACTCCCAAACATGTCCTCGTTCTCATCACTGTCACGAACGTCTGTCAACCGTAAGGTTTTTTCCTTACTATATAACTTTTAAAGGGGAGGATCTGTAAGCCAGTAGAAGGCCTACTTGGAAGGTCTATCTGAAGGGTCTACCTGGAGGGTTAATAAATTAGACACATGTGCAACACTTGGGTATCTTTATTGCTGGAACATTTCGCGACCCAGTGGCTTCATCAGTCTAGTACAATGAAAAATGGTGAAAATCAGAAGGAGTTTGAGGTAATCAGTCCCTCAGTCTGGAGTCTGATCTTCACCATTCTTCATTGTACTGGACTGATGAAGCCACTGAGTGGCGAAGTGTTTTCACAATAAAGATACCCAAGAGTTGCACATGTGTCTAATATATCAACTTGTTGGTTCTTTGAACCATTTATCTACATAACTGGAGGGTGTTGCTGGATGCAACACCCCCGCGGCCCTCAAACTCTTTGGCAGTTGTCCACATTGGCCAACTGTCCACATTAATTTTTCAAGAAAGTTCGTTTTGCCCTTGGGAGTAACAGCCTCCCTAATCTGTTGCCCTCCTGGGTATGTATAAATTCACATTCTGGTTGTTTCCTGGTCTTGAAGGCATGTGTGTTGGGTCATTGTGTACATCTATGTTGTCCCACCTGTCTCATGCCTCGTGTGTCTTAATTAACCATTTTTTCTATTCTCTTGTCCTTCTGGTTCTAAATCTTTTGAAGACCCATGTCTCGTAGGTCCATATTACTTTCTCTATCTGCTTCATCCTCTACCTAGAGTCTACCTGGAGGGTGTTCCGGGAGGGGTCAACGCCCCCGAGGCCCGGTCCATGACCAGGGCTCAGAGAAGACGTGCGTGGGTGTTAATGATGTATGCTTCAGGTAGGATGTTTCACAAGTTTCCTGTACGTTACCTTCTGTACGAATTATAATATACTGAAATAAAGTTAATCCCGGAGATGCAATAAATAAGATTCACCTCAAAACAGTGAGTGCACCGAGGCAGGGAGAGTACCAGTGCACAGTGAGTGCAGGAAGACAGGCGCAGTACCCGTGCCCATTGAGTGCAGGGAGACAGGCACAGTACCCGTGCACAGTGAGTCCAGGGAGACAGGCACAGTACCCGTGTACAGCGAGCGCAGGGAGACAGGCACAGTACCCGTGCACAGTGAGTGTAGGGAGACAGACACAGTACCCGTGCACAGTGAGTCCAGGGAGACAGGCACAGTACCCGTGTACAGCGAGTGCAGGAACACAGGCACAGTACCCGTGCACAGTGAGTGCAGGAAGACAGGCACAGTACCCGTGCACAGTGAATCCAGGGAGACAGGCACAGTACCCGTGTACAGCGAGTGCAGGAACACAGGCACAGTACCCGTGCACAGTGAGTGCAGGAAGACAGGCACAGTACCCGTGCACAGTGAGTGTAGGGAGACAGGCACAGTACCCGTGCACATTTCCACCCAATAATACGATGGAGCGCCAACTGGAGGTGAAGTACCGCAGTAACATCTACTACATGAGTAAAGTGACAGTAGTTTCTCTTGGAATCCCTTCGTTCACACAGTCGTGAAGCATTAATTCCGCTGTTGTCTCGTCACGACGGCCACTAAACCGCTCGGCATGTCTTAGAATGTTTTAATTTTGTCTTGTGTCTGTACTGAGTGAAGAAATCTTTCTGAGTTCACCCCTTTATTGTTCTAGGAATATATTTTATCATATACGTATATAAAATTGCCGTTATAAATGAAGATATGTATGTCAACGCATTAGACAAAAAGCGGACCACATTATTTTTGGGATCGTCCATAAAAAAAGATGCATTTTATATGAAACCAGAGTGACAGTTCTCTTCCTCATCACACTGACAGCTCGGTGACGTTATCTTAAATATCACAGCGATCAAAAATGTGGAAATAGCGACTGCACATTTCCGGGTCTGATGAAAGCTTTCCAATTTCTGTCCCTGGATGGCGACGAATTGGCTACTTGTATGAGTTAGGTAGTGAGGAAGCCTCCATCCCTCCCATTCCATCCCTTTACATCATTACTGGGAAACCCCCTTCCCTCCTTCCTTCTTCGCATCATCTTACACTCATTACAATTTCCAGTTTCATCCTTTCCTCGTAATTTCCATTCCCTTTGCTTTCTACCTCCTCCTTTTTCCTTCGTTTGCCTTCTACCCCCATGTACCATTTTCTCCTTGTCAACTTTCTTTTCCGAACTGTGTTACGCCTCTCATTTCTCTTCTTTTGTTCTGTAGCTACAAATAAGTAAACACATTACCCGACCCTCAGAGATTTTTCCATGTCTGCTTACTAAGAAAATACCAATAGTAGTAGTAGCAGCAGCAGCAGCAGCAGCAGCAGCAGCAGCAGCAGCAGCAGCAGCAGCAGCAGCAGCAGCAGCAGCAGCAGCAGCAGCAGCAGCAGCAGCAGCAGCAGCAGCAGCAGCAGCAACAGCAGCAGCAGCAGCAGCAACAGCAGCAGCAGCAGCAGCAGCAGCAGCAGCAGCAACGGCAGCAACAACAGCGACAACAACAGCAGCAGTAGCAGTAACAGCAACAGCAGCAACACCACCACCACCAACAACAGCAACAATGGCAACAGCAACAGCAGCAGTAACAGCATCATATATCAGGACTCACGTCTCCCGCTATCTCCACCTTTAAAGTATTGGCTCCAGCACCACGCCTAACTCCACTAATCTATACACGTCCTCCACCGCACTCACTGATACAAGTATCGCCGGGACTGCAACAGCGACAGATTACAACCATTTGTTTCAAGGTTGCCTTCCACAACACTTAAATAATGATAAATTATAATCTAGGAAGAACTTCACTATAATGAAGCGGTTTCTGTTAACTGCCCGAAATGTTGGGCATAATCATCGGCTTTTAAACACAATGTTGACCACGAAATGTAATATATATATATATATATTATATATATATATATATATATAATATATATATATATATATATAATATATATATATATATATGCAATAGATCACAGTAAACAGGTGATTTCAGAATATGCAAAACAACCACTGTGAAAGAATAGAGAAATTTTAAGCCCTTTCGTGACTATTCACATTATCAAGAAACTATGAAAGTAAAGCATCCAAGGAAGGTATATAAGGGGTCTGGCCAACACCTCACTATCAGATCCCACAACAGTTAAACACCTGACACGCGCTGGCCCAACTGGACAGGTCCTTCGCACAACCCACCAACAAACTATTCTACCCAATAAAATTTAAAAAATTA